GTTCTGAGGAGACTTGTCTGAGAAGCCAGGATGTCTTCAGTGAGGAGAAACTCTGAGGCAGAGCCTTGAGGGACCTTGCCAGTGGCAAAGTCTAGCAGGAGGACCCCAGTGGCTGAATCTTCAGTCTGGTTTTGGTTTTTTGACTTTGCCTGTGTACCCAGGCATGAGTCTCCTGGGTCCTGAAAAGTAGAAATTTTGGAGGAGGGGAGGCTTTTATTGGATCTCAGAGACTTTAAACTCTTCAAACTCACATTGAGATTTTGGGAGGTTGACATCACACTGGCTCCCTTGGTAACTGCCCAGTCAGAGGACTTCTGCTCAGTCTCCATGAAGACGCTGTCTTCTAGATGCTTCTTGTCTGGACCTCTTGCTGAATCATATCCTGAATCACTTCTTGAGGGTCTCAACTTATTTGTTTCTGATCCTCCCTCAGACATAGACTCTAGGTCATTCACTGGGGAGTTTTTTGGAATCTCCGACAGACCTTTTAGGACCTGTCCCAGGTCATTGCTTGAGTATTTCCCTTCCTGGGATATTTCTGGGTGCCCTGACCTGAACTTTTGTATGACCTGGCTGCTTTTATCTGAAACCTCTGAGGTCTGGGAAGGCCCAGAATTTTCCTTTGCCTGCCTTGTCCCTGGGTACTTTTCCCTGAGCCCTGTCAAGCCCAGAGATAGGTGGGTCTTCTGGGGCAGTTCACACATGTGATTTTTTTGAAAGTGTTGCTCCAATTGCTCCCGGAGCTTAGATTGTATGATATTCACTGGGAAGTTGATGTTTTCCTGGCTGGCCCAGTGTTTGTCAGTAGATTGGCTAACAACTTGCTGAGATTTTTTGGCCACAGGAGGTAAAACTCTCCTATTCTCTCTTTCCTCCTTCAAAAGCTTATCTTGTAGGTGTTGAATAGTAGGTGAAATGGAATATTTCTTCCCCTTCTTCTTGGTAGGACAGGAAACTTCCCAGGCCCTAACTGGAGGTGAAGAGCAAGGTACAATTGGGAGAGGTGGAACATGGACCTGGGTCTGTTTCTGAGGTGGGGTCTGGGATGAAGGCATGGTTGGAGTCAAAGTTTGACTTTGGGCCACATAGTGGACCAAGGGCTGGGAGGAAAGGAGTTGCAGAGGTGCATTAGCCTGAATTTGCACCGGGATAGAATTATGAAGTCCATTGAATACAATAGGAGAAACCTCTAATGAGGCACCAGATGCTCTGATATTATCCATCAGGGACTCACTGTGTAGAGTGGGGAGGCCCCAGAAAAGCTGGCTGCATTTCTGCTGCAAGTGGTCCCACAAGACCTTGGGGTAAAAAAGCTCCTGTGAGACAGAAAGCTGCTCAGCTTTGCATCTTGTTTTCCAGAAGGCCTGTGGGCTGATAAGGTCTTGTTCTTTGCCCAGTGAGCTTAACATATTCCCCAGGGAATACAGGGGAATGTTTTGCCCTTCCTCTTCGGTGTTCTTATAAATCTGTTCCACTTTCTTCTTGATGAGTGTATCCAGCACTTTCTGGACATCAGGATTGAGGAAATAGGAACTCCCAACTTGTACCTGTGTGTATGCAGTCTCCGGCAGGACTGAGGCCTCTGGTGATTGGGGGGTGAGGTGGCCTCCCTGGCATTCACTGTTTGATAAGTTGGAGTGGCACAAGGCTCCGGGAGGCTCCTGACACTGGGAGAGGGCAGAGATGGGACAGCCTGTGTCACCAAGAATTGAAGTTTCTGGCTCAGGGGAAGACAACCAGCAGTTGTTGGGTGGACACAGGTTCTGTGGGATGGCCCCCAATGGGAGTGGTGATGAATCCTGCTGAGGAAGAGCCAGGCTGGGGTCTGGCAGAGGTGGCCGGGAGGCCATGGGACTAGGAGAATAGGATGGAGGGGGGGAAAGCAAAAGCGGCTGGGGTGAAAGGCATCTTGGAGGAATCGGAGGCTCTGGGGGGTGGTAGGCACTCAGGGCTGGCTGTGACCCGAGAGAAACTGGAAAAGTCTTCAGACCTGGTGACAAGGTAGAGGCCACAGGTGGAACGTGCTCTGTGGAAGGAGCATGGGAAACCAATGAGGATGAGGCGGTGACAAAACTGTCCTCCAAAGGCTGCCTTCTTGGTCTGTCAGCTCTAGCACATACCGACTGGAACTTCTCATCAGGGGCATCTTCTCTTAAGGGCTGATGAAGTCTGCCACCATGAAGGTCATTCCCTAGGTGGCTGAAGGAGACAGAAGGCACAAGCTATAGACAGGAGCAGATGGGGCCAGGAGGTCAGGCAGTCTGGCCAGGGGAGGACAACTACTGTCCATGGACCTTCCAGTGGCCCACACCCTGGCTCTAAAAGCCCCTGGACCCAGGGCTTTAGTCACACCCCACTCTAACCTGGGGTGTTCCCTCCTCCCCCAGCTCAGCCCAAGTCCCTGAGGTCACATCATAGCCCCTGGTGGGAAGCAGACACAGAGAGAAGTGGAAAGTTTCTCACCTTTGGAGAGATGAAGCCAGGTCATCAGTCCCCTTGCCTTCTTCCCTGCAGTCCCTACGAGCTGAAAAAGGGTGGAGGGAAGGGTTTCAGTGGAGAAGGCAGAGGTCTAAGATCACACAGGCTACTGAATGGAATGTCTCTTTGGGGAAAATGGACAAATTCAACCCTAGCCCATGCATCAGTGTCCAAAGATATGTAACCAGTGGGAGTGATAGCAAGTCACACAGAGAGCAGCACTTTATCATTTACAAGGGGCCCCGTCTCCACCAACCTCCGTGCTCTTCATAACCTTCCTGTGGAGAGAAAGGGCAGATCGTCTCCAAGAAGGATGTGCTGTAGCGAAGTGAAGCAGGTGTGCACAGTTGCACCTGAAGGTCCCACCACTAAATCCAGGAAGTATTGCCCCATAAAGGCCTGCTCCGTCCCTCCTGGACATCCCCCTTCCCCCAGCCGATCACAGGTTCATTCCAAGCACAAAGTTCGAGAAATGTTCCCAGTTCTGATTTCCTTCCCACGAGCCACCCTCTCGGGCCTCCCTAACTGACATTCTCACAGAGGGAAGCCCTGGTCGCTCAAGGACAAGCAAGGTCAAGTCACCTCTGGGGTGGAAGGACCAAACCTCACCTTTCCGAGTGCAGCTCTTCTTTCTGAACTTCCAACACTTCTTCACCACGTGGTACTGAGAGACAAGAAAGAGAGGGGGCTTGGGTCCAATTCTCTCTCTCCTCTCCCTAATCAATACTATTGGTGTTCTTGAATAATATAACTTTCTAATTTAGCACATAAAGTTCATTTTTTTAAAAGTGGCTTCTGCTTTTCCTCTTGGAAAAACACAAAATTTTCTAAGCATGTATTTCACAGTACAATATCTCTGCTCAGGAAGCAGGGATAGCTACAGGCACATCTCAGCTGCCAAGTAGGGTTCTGCTTCCTGAAGTCAAAGGTGTCTCTGGGCTCTATCAGGAGGCGCTCAGGGGCTCAGCACAGCCCATAGATCAGCTCAACATACAGGAAAGGCTTGGCCAGAGTCACTTGCCACAAGAGGTTGTCCTAGGTACCAGTGCTCTGGGCCTGTCCTACTGCAGAGCTCTCCAACTCTCTTGGGAATCCAGCCCATTCTCACTCCTGCCCTGCTCAGCCATTCCAAAAGAATGATGTTCTAGCTGGCCATGGTGGCACACACCTGTATTCAGTGCTTGGCAGGCTGAGGCAGGAGGATCGCTGTGAGTTTAAGGCCAGCCTGGGCTGCATAGCAAGACTCTGTCTCAAAAAAGCAAAACAAACAAACAACCAAAACCCAAAAACAAAAACAAACCAAAACACAGATAAACAAACAAACAAAAAGAATGATATTCTAATCTTTCCTGAGACTTCCCCTCTCAAATTTGTCTCCCCTTGCTTTGGAAAAGTAATAGAAAGAAGAGTAGAAGAAA